GCCAAATAAAAAAGCGACCTTCATTGACTAGGCTTCACCTCTCGACGAAGCTGACCTCGGTTTTTGAAGACGCTTTGTTGTTATGAAAAAGCTTCTGCGTGCGGTCGAATTCACTTTCTCATTTTCTTTCATTTTCCTATTTTTGTCATAAGATCGTGAAAAATATCTTTGTTAACCAAGTATCATTGAGCTCTCAAAACTGGTGAAACATCCACATCACAGTTTACCATTCCCCATATTAAAGTGACAAGGAGTTGGCGCACTACATCTACAGGGGGGGGGCAAAAAAAAAGACATTTTGCCTATGTCGGACTTCGGCCTCTTTTTTCTTCGCAGAGATTGCTGTCGTTGACGGGAGTTCCTCAGCAGAGTATTCCCTAAGTGTCCCTCTATAAGTGAACGCAGGCCCTCCTTCACTGCCCTCACCGTCTTCAGAATATGACGTCATCTGTCACCGTCGTCAGGCTCAAGGAGGTCTACCGTAAGAGCTTCAGCCTGAAGCTCTTACGCAATTTCGTGAATCGATTTAATGTTGGATAGTTTTCTAGAGGCATTAGCTCCCACTATGCAAATCCCCTCGAAACTAGCTTTCCAGTAAGGTCGTTATGGTACACGATCCTTCGAAGACCCCATTGAGCTCGACCAGTGCACCATGTTTCCAGGGCAAATTCTTCTGATGCCGTCCACGTAGGTGGCCCATGAAGATTTTCTTATAGAATGGAATGCGCTCTTTAATAATAAGTTGGGAACCATTTCGGTCTCTGAATTGAGCAAAGTGTGCTTAAATCCATCTGGAAGTGGAGACAAAATTGTCTTTATTGCCCCCCCCCTAGTGGTATCAACGTAACAAAGAAACTTTTCGGCGCTGGATTATGTTCGGAACCATTTCAGATGGAAGGATGGCCATCCGTAGTTTACAGTTACTACCGTGCAAATCCACAGGCACTTCTCTTGGAGATTTTCATAAACGAAAATGAGAAGACCCCATTGAGCTCGACCAGTGCATATGAAAATTGATAATATTAATAAAATTATAAAATTGAATAAAAATATGATAATTAAATATAATATTAAAAATGGGCGGAAGTGGTGCAGTGACAAGTGGCGCGCTCACCACGCGAGCGGTCCGGGATCAAATCCTGGGTCGTGAGTCGCCCGGGCCAACCAAGCCTTCCATCCCTCCGGGGTCGGTTAATTGGTACCAGACTTGTCTGGGAGGATAAAAACACTGACTTGAACATCGGCTGGCCCCCGCAAGTCATTGTATAGGCCACATCGCATTCAAACGCCACTGCGAATGTACAAATGGAAGTAGAATGCGTGCCGCATCCCAAAAGGGATTGATCAACGGCAAATGCTTTATCCTTTTTTATCCTTAATAAATATACCTTTGGCGACGTTTAGTTCTTCCTGGGTCAGGTCATCAGAGAGGCGCTGATTGAAGCCTGTGATTAGGCCTACACTCAGGCTTAGGCTTACAGTTATATACTGGCTTATAATTAACTGCTCGTAAAAAACCGAGGTTAGACTTGGGCTTGCTGAGCCACCTGAGTGACTATCAGTTGTTGAGATTTTTTTTTTCATTGTCATTGAGCTAATAGTCGTTCTCAGCGATAAGCCGTGATGTACCGTAATTCGGCCCCTTTAATACATAGATTATGTATGAGGTAGCAGTGTAGGGTTATCGAGAAGACTGCCACCTGACCACGGTGTGGCATAGGTGAGTACTAAAACAAAAACCAGCAGCGATACCGTAATTCATATGAATCACTTGGGCATGTAAAAAAGAACTTTACAGCAATCTTTTCTCCGAATCACTTCCAAAGTAAGTTCCTGGTTTGATTTTTCTACTGTAGCTCACCTTCTCTGAACTTTATTCCGTATTTCCTTCGATTATTAGTAAACTTTTTTGTAGAGCACGTTTCATTATATACATAATTCATAATTTGTTGTTTATGTCAGTAATTTTTATAGTCATCTAATTTACAATTCAAGTCACTATCAGAGGCATATGACGGGGTTACATTGGAAACTCGCTGCAGTATGGAGCCGGGCAGATTGAGCCACTAGCATAGCTACGGTCGAGGGTAGCAGATGTGGGATTCTCACGACGAGGGGCTAGAGCAGCTGGTGATCGCGGTCGACCGCTAACAGCTAAGCGGGAAAGTGTCTACTATCTCTCTCGTCTGCCATGCTCACTGCCTATGTGACGTCTGCTCCCTCCTCTCGTTCCACAGTGTCTCTTACAAGGAGGTCTTTAGCTTTCGCTTTTTCGAAATGGTTTTCTGCATGTTGTAGGGGCTCATGCGAGGAACACAGAACCATGATCCATTTTTCCTGAACGCCTCCAGGAATGTCAAAACAGTGGTGAAGAAATGGTCCAGAGTTCGATCCCCGGTGATGACTAATTTTTGCAATATAGTTTGGCGCCCCAGATTGCCGCCAAATGGCGCCATCGTCGAGAATAGATGTCATTGTCGTGTTTTGCGGCAATTTGGAGGCGCCAACATAAATTGCAAAAATTTGTCATCACGGAGGATCGAACTTTGGACCATTTCTTCCCCGCTGTTTTGACATTCCTGGGGGCGTTCAGGAAAAATGGACCATGGTTCTGTGTTCCTCACATGAGCCTCTACAACATTCAGAAAACCATTTTGAAAAACGCTCCATGTCCTGAAGATTCCCACCTCCTGAAGCCACAATTCCTTTGACATCTCCTAGGAGGAACATTTGTTTCAGATTCCTCAACTACTAATGAAGCGGTATATCAAGACAGGCCGGTAGGGAACCCCCATCGTGCTCTCGAATGTGTATAATCATCTCCATCCATCTCTGACGAATTGTTTACGTGGGGGAAATTCGGTCACACAAAATGAATTCGCTTCGATATTCATCAAACAATGACGTACGTGTCGCCCTATTGATGCTGTTCCACCGTAATTACTAGATTACCAATTACAATTATAATTTCTATTCTGAACAAAAGTTGCGAATATTACGAATATCACGTTGATGCTTCGATGGAGACTAAAGTCGCGAAAATGACCAGTTAGCGATTTATCTCGTGATGACAAAGGATAAAGCTAACATATAATACATACTATGTACCTTGTGCTATAACCTGCTGCTACACCACAAAGCTGGGTCAAGGTGAAATGGTGCCGCGATAGTGTAACTGGTAGCACAATTGCCCGGTAGGCGAGGGGTACGGGTTTGACCCCTATGGCAAATTGTCCACAACTCAGAATTTTTGGAATTACCTTCGCGTGGTGAACCGTTGTCAAAAAGGGCAGTTAACATTCAAAAAAAGGGCGAAGCTTTTGCCGTTAGTCGAATCACCGGGTACTCTTTAATTCCTCCTGTAGTGTGGTGAGATTTTGTGATGTGGCTAACAGAATACAATCCGGGCGGGATTTGGGTCAGTAGGTTGAATTGAGGGGTAGCGATTTGGAGAACTATTTTGATGCTCCCATTCAATTTTTGCATCAATCAACGGACCTCGAAAAGATAAAGGACTTGATTGGCTGGACAACGAACGATCGAAGATTTGATCCCTGAACCGCGCGATTGGAATCGCAACTACATTACTATGCAGTGCGCACCAAAAGTATGTGGACACCTTATAATCGACTCATAGGGGGCAACTAAAGCTCCTTTTCTGCCATGAAACCTCTCATTCAACTCATCGTGGTCGATAACCTACAATGATATTTTCGCAAAAGATTTCGTTCCAGTTTGGTAAATAGTTTTGATAGAGGTTTTTCCCCTTTATCGAAAATATGTGGGTACCCCGGGGTACATCAAGTCTCTGCACCAATTTCCTATGATATTCTAACTTTTTATCTCACTACTAATTCTGCCATCATGCCTCTTTACGGTAAGCATATTTCTAGAGAATAACAAGCACAGATTAGGGGCTCGTTATGATGTGGACTCTCCAATGGGAAATCGCACATCAACCCGGTCGGGTGTCCTCGTATCTGGGAAATAGATCCAAAATCTTGATGCTAACCTTCCGGCACTGATTGAGCGTCATCACCATCTGCTCAAAATATTGGAACAGTAGCCTATTGTCTCAAATTGTTTCTTTACCTGCTATTCAAGTTCGTGCTTGAATGACCTTGCTCTCGAAATTTCAATCGGTATCCCATTCGATTGAATGAGCACATGTAACGAGAGAAGGTCAAGGAAGCTTAGTGAAAGGAAGCGAAACACAATTAGCCAAAATTGCAGTTCCCTTTCAGCTGGGCAATACCATGAGGCATCGAGCTCGACTAGGCAGCGCTTTTGTGAAAATGGTAAGTTTGGAATGGAAGACACTGCGGAAAATTCCGTTTTAGTTAACTCGACTAACAAGAGAAAGCTTATCTTCGGCTGTTCTGGTGGATCTCGTTGCCAGCGTTTCGGAGAATATTCATTAGTTGTCTTGGGGTGGTTTCAAGAGAAGAGTGTAATTGGAACTTGGCTCTCCACATGCTGCTAAGCAGGTAGTATTATAATGAGGCGCTTAGACCTCAGCTGCAGCCCCTTTTCAAAAAGCCAGCGTCGCAAAACACTTGTAGCGAGCCCAATGAGACATTGCGCGCAAGGCTTACATTTGGGAAAGAGGTCACCGCAAGAGTCTCGGGTGCAGCACAGACTAACGTATTCTATAGAACACTGCCTTATCAAAGGCGCAGGGTGATTGCGATTCATTGTCTCGGCTTCACCAAGCAAAAGAATAATACCACAAGTGACCTAACACGTTGCTGAAATTGGCCGGTTGGGAACAGATTGAGGTTATAGGTATCGTGAGCTTGGTACAGAGCAAGCCAAATAAAATGCTATATTTTATCAGGATTTTTGGCAAGCATTGGCAAGCAATTTGGGAATTCCAAAACTTTTGGGCATTGTTCGTAGCAAACGTCCACAACCAACCATTGACGAAGCTACACAAGTTCAACTACTTATTAAATGCGCTACGCGGAGAAGCTCGCGAAACAGTGCGCCGCTATCCAGTTACAGAAGACAACTACGACCATGCTGTTCGCCTTTTATGCGCTAAATACGGCGATGACACTAAGTTCATCGCTTGTCTACAGTCTCGCTTGGAAAACGCGGAAGCAGAAAAATTAACGATCCCAGCACAGCGGCGCCTCCTAGAATTTCTCATCCCAATAGTGACACAGCTGATGGAGAAGGGTGTACCTCTAGATGGATCGTTTCTCGTACAAAAAATACTTTCAAAGTTCTCGGTAGATCTCCAGAGGAAAGTTCTCCGTCTGAGAAAGAATCCATGCCTAGGTGAAAGCGCTTGGTCTATGCAAGACACCTTAGCCAATGTCGACGAAATCATATCAATGGAAGAAAAAAATAAGTGATATGGTTTACAGCAAACATGAAGATGCTACACACGGAAAAGATCAGACAATACGACCCAAGCCGAAGTTCATGAACAGTGGACAGTGCATTTTCTGCGGTGATAATCACAAGTCAATGTCCTGCCAAAAATACACCACGTCGGAAGAGAGACGCGCAATTTTTCGTGAGCTCAACAAATGCCTCAATTGCGCTAATCAAGGTCACTTTGTCAAAGACTGCCCGAAAGAAGGGTGCAGGCTATGCAACGGGAAAAAAGCATCACCCTACGCTCTGCCCACAACGTATTTCAAACGGGCGAAACCAACCAGTGAAGGAAAAAGCAGAGCCCGAATTGGTGCAATCAGAAACACCTACTACATACCAGAATACATCAAAAACTGCGAGAAAAGCGCCACAAAAGAAATTGAAATCAACACAAGCGCATTTGCTCGAAACAGCTTGCGGTGCTTGTGAAACAGCTATGGTTTGCGAAGAAGAGAACAGTTCAAAAAAAAAAAAAAAAAAAAAAAAAAAAAAAAAAAAAAAAAAAAAAAAAAAAAAAAAAAAAAAAAAAAACTGTTCTTTCTACTATGAAAAAAAAAACGTTGCCTAGAAATGCAAGTCAAGAAACCGGGAGGCGGGAAATAGGGTCCTTTTACTCACAGGAGTCGCTCGAGTGAGAGACTCGAGTCGGAATGCCTGGAAAGACGTTGAAGTCTTACTGGACACAGGCGCTGATCAATCCTTTATTAGCCAAGGGCTTGCCGAAGAACTTGGATTTGTATGTAATGGGCAAAAGAAAGCTCTAAAGTAGGTGTACACCTTTGGTACAGAAACACCCAGGGAAACGACTTGTGGAGAAGCATGGTTCGACCTGTGGGACCGTGAAGGTGTGAAGCATAAATTGCGCCTTTATAGGTTATGTATAACTATATCAAATAGAGAAAAAATAAGTGCAAATCTCCATTGTCGCATCTTCTTGCAGAATATGGAGCAACTACGACGCGAACTTCGTGCTACAAAAAAGGAACTGGCCAAAGTTCGTCAGGAATTAAGCAACAAAGAAAGAGAAAAGGAACTTAGGGATTTGCGAAGCGCCCTCCCGCCTATTCCTGACCCTAGTCATCTCTACAACAACATTGTGAATCGTTGTCATGAATTCTATTTATGCACCGTAACTATCGCGGAACTGGGACAATCAACTGAAAGCACTTCGTCAGTCTGGTGAATCTTGGGAAATTCGTCTCCACAAGTTGTCACTCCTGGAACTGTCGGTGGAAAAATCTCATGTAGAGATTATGTGTCAGTGTCGCTCGTCCGCGGATATCAGCTGCGTACACTTTTCGGCCATTCCTGCTCTTGATAATAGCCATGGGAACCATCAAAAGTGATATCTGGAGGGCGTGGATGGAGCGCCCACAATACAACGAGCAAGGTGATCCACTCCTAATGCGGCAAGACGACATCGAAAGAGTGGCGGCGGACCAAATCAACCAGCTTCACCACTATCGCAAATCACTCATTGATTTGCGAACGTCTATCACGGATGAAGGAGAACAGAACACCTTGAAGTTTCAACAACACACCGCAGCCGTAGCTAATCTACAAGCGACATTTTAGACACAGCATTGCTAGCCATGAAACAAAGTGAAATGCAGAAACCCATCATTGACGTCCACATGGAAGATATGAGAAGCGGTACTTATTCTGGAAGGAAGATCTGTTTCGGAAGTTGAAGTCGAGCAGCAGCCACATGATGAGTGGAGAGCGCGTGAGGCGAGAGAATGCAAGCATGAGGCAACAAATTGAACGAGAGATACAACAACTGCAACAGTCGTGCGCGAATTTCCGACAAATCATCGACGAGCTTCGCAAGCATCCTACCTGCCCAACTAGACGTATCGGTCTCGCGACATAACAGATGAAAATGAACGTCATATCGCGCTGCCGGCCTTCTTGTTAGAGCTATCGGTCGACACTTTTCTGATTCTTGCGTTGAGATAACGTTTGTATTCGTTCGCCGTAGGATGATCGAAGACAGAGGAAGGTGTGAAGAATGTCTCGAGTATTGCTACGGAGGAACTGACTGTCCCAAATACGACGTGCGATGTTTTCATTGTCGGAAATATGATCACCACTCCGCCTTCATGTGAGCTCCCTGACAAGAGCGAAAAAATAGCAGAAAGGAGAGCGAAAGCGAGACGTAGCCTGGCTGAAGCGATGGATCGGATTGAAAAGCTGGAACGCGATCTGAGATTCTTCCAGAATTGATAATGCGCGGCGCCGGAATATCGCGGAATAACCAGCGATTATGTTTTACTGTTATCTTTTTTGTTACTGTTCATTGTTTGTTTAGTAAATAATGTTTTGGATGGAGTATCAAAATGAAGAAAAACTATGGCGGCACATGGAAAAACGTGTTGCTCATGCGAAGGATAAGAATGAAGTCGCGATAAAGTAGAGTATCAATAATCTCACGAATGATAGTATATCTTATCCTACCTGAGGAGCCTTCCCCGAAGTGGGGTAAGGTTCAGTTTTTGAACTGTGGTGCAAGGCGCTCAGCGAGCAATAAACGGTGCTATCAACGGTTCTCTGTGCGGTGCTACTATCCGTTTAATTAGTTTCTTCGGTCAGGGTGGAAATTTTTAAAAGGTGTACATACATTTAATACTTCACTGGTATCTTCTCGCCTGCTAATAATAGTACATTGTAAAAATAAAAATGCAGCGCAGAGTATGAAATGGTTCTAGGGCCTACCAAATTCTTGGTTTGCATGCGGCATATTGAAACTTCTTATGGGAGCTTTTCGGAGGTAAATTCTGAAATGTCTTGATTTGCATGCCTGTGAAAAGGTGCTGTGAAGTTATGCCAATGGCCGCCAAGAAACGGTAATAAAGGCATGCCGGGCGGCGACGACCCAAGTTAACCGATAGGGTTCCGGACTGCTTCGATGCGTGTATGTTTACAATTAACTTCATAAGCTTGACCATGATTAAATCGCGATAATCCGAAAGTGTCATGTCTTCCTCTTCACGAAGTAGGGCACTCTGACAGTCAAAAACTGCCTCATGGCCGTGTCACACTGGCAAGAATGACGGAGTGGTTCCGGAACTACTGTCGACCACCATCTACAGTATTCATTAAGGGATCCTTCTCGGAAAATTCTCAGAAAATTCTCACACTCTTTCCCAACACATGAGCTTTTCAGCTGAACACGAGAGACAAAATGCAAACTTTCGCGTACAAAGATTCACTTTCCAAAAAGAAACAAACTACAAAAACCATACTTTGTGAACGGCCAAGGGTAGAGAAAGAAGTGCGCCTTGGGGCGGCCACGAATTAGGCGATGCAGTGAAAGATTCTTATGACTCAGCAGAATTGTGAGATATGGTAAAATACATAAGACAGAAGGTTAAAAAATTCTAGTGGCGGCATTCTGAAAACCAAGCGGAAGCGTTCCCGCGCGCTTTAATACAGCTGTAGTAAAAATTTTCTCTGCGAAATATAACTCTATGGTTCATTCCTCATAGTGATAATTTCATAAAGTCAGACTTTCAAACAATTGTAGGTCAATTGGTTATGTCATCATGATGATGCACTTTGATGTAAATCGAAGGAATGTGTTTTCGGATTACATACGTGACAAGTTCACGAATGCAAAAATAGCCTGAGAAATGTGCCTGTCCTGGATGGGTAACAGAACTGACAGAATGAGTCTTCATATGTTCACAGATCGCCGAAGTCTGACGTTTTTGTGGTACCTATGTCTGAACTTCTAGACAGACAGTCACAGAACATCTACCATTTAGGCGTTAGCAATTACCTGATTCTGTCTGACGGCATCGTCTGCGACGTGATTTCTCATAGCTTTTATAATCATTTGTGCATGTATTGCCTGTATTTATAACTGGCATTATACTACAGTGGATAGTCCGGTAGGGAAATAAATAGGGACTACGAAAGACTTCTGCTGATTTTATTTGTTAAGGTACACGAGCTCCGAGACACACTCTAAGAGAAATTGATCGCCGGGGTGAGAGAGCGTAGGGCACAAGCGAGACCCAGACACCACGAATGGCTCGGCCAAAAACTACTGGCATCCTCGCCGCGCCTTCTAAATTACACTTTAGGTGCACTGAGGTGCTTTTTGTCAGGTCTGTGCCTGAAATGGCTATGGAAGAAATTCATTACTCCTGAAGTTTAGACATTTTCGTCGTTCCAGAAGGCTTCAAAGCATATCGAAGTATTTTGCAATGTTATCAACGTGCCTAAAGGCAACCCCGGGATAAAACCGGTGATAAGAGCGCTTCGTAATGATGACTGAGCTGCGGGACGGCCTGAAAGTGGAAAGGAAAGCTAGAGAAATCTTTGGGATCGCTGAAATTAAGGCCTTAACCTTCAAAAGGTCGGATGTGGAACGATGGCGAGGCAGGGCGGTCAAAGAAGACAAAACACGCGAGAGATCACGCCGATATCGAGGTGGGTGGGAAGCGTTGCAACGGGGTCGATGGTTGCAGCCCGTAAGGATTCCAG